TGGAATCAGCCCACGATGTTCTCCCTGTAGAAGCCTGTCAGCTGCTTCTGTCCCTCTTTGCACTGTAGACTGTACCTGGTACAACCATTAAGCTCCCACTTTCCCCAGTCTCTGTAAAAGGAGTACTTCGTCGGCATGCATGAAGTTGATGGTATTGTGGTTAAAATGTGAAGTCTATACCCACACTGCGCTTAGTAAAATATGTGAAATCGATGCAACACTGTTATTGAAGAGTTGCTAAGTAAGTGACATTTCTGTACTATGTGTAAGTGTAAATGCTTCTTCCACACATTATTTTGCATCTAATATTTTAACAAAAATGCCAAATGCTTTTTATTTTTCTCAGCTATGCTGACTTTTGAGAGCCCGAACAGAGTTTGGTTTAATTCTTGCCTTAGTTTTGCTAAAAACCTCAGTGGTGACAACAGATCAACACGAAGGATCCTTTTTAGTTGTCAGATAAGTATGTGAAGTTTGATTGATATTTACCAAAATTGTCATTTTAATTTTGTTAACTTGAGGAGCTCAGTATAGAATTCACTCTAAAAAAGGCATACCCGCAATACCAGAGCAGAAGGTGCAGTTGAATGTAGTCACACTTGAAGCATGGAAAATGGTTCAATCTTAAAAAGACCCTGCTGGGGTCCAAACATCAAGTGTCCTGTGTTAGTGGGCATCGCTGGACTAATGAAAATACAACACTGTTTTCTCTCTCTGGTTCTGAAATCGGAGACTGCATGTTGTTGTCAATGCCAGAAGGAACAGAGACTAGATCTTGGTTTAAATCATATGTATTTAAAGGTTCTTTTTCCCCAGATGTGTGTATTAATCGGGAAGCAAACTAGGGGGAAAAAATAAGTCCTTTGAAACAAGCCAGATTCCTAATGGAATGAGAAAACTCCCTCCAGTGCATTTTCTCCCTCTGTGTCAGCTTTTATAGTTCTGTTTCTGGCATGTATCTTTTGAGATTTCTTTAAAGATTGTTAAAAATTTTTCTCTTACATCAACAAACAATTTTCAGAGCCCGAGTAAGGCTTTAATAAAAAGCATCTTGCACAGAAGATTGGTAATCAGGGAGGCGAAGGGGCAAAAGAGGTTGTAGGGAAGGAAGCACAGGGCTGCTTTGTAATATTTTTTTTACTTTCTAAGATCACCGAAATGTAAAGCTGCATTTCAGGCTTGTGGACAATTGTTTTTTTCAGGAATACTTGTATATGGCATGTGTATAAAGACATATATTGAGAACCGCTATCAGTAACTTCATTTGCACTTTTGTGTTTATTAATGTCACACTGTCACTAAGCTGCCCTGTCTCAGACTGACTCAGTCTGTTAGCTAGCACTCAGTACATGGTGAAGAACAAAATTTGAAGGAAACCCTTAGCGGTTTTTTTTTTACTGCTATAGGAAGCCCCTCCCAACAATGCTTGAAAAGCCTGGAAAATGTACAGTAGACCAAGTGTTTTGCTGAAGCTTTAAATGCTAGCAAAAGGCTTTCCAAGTTTTTACTGGCAAAAAGCTCCTGGACTCACCTGCTATTTTTTTCTTTTCCCCTTAGGGGTGTACAACGAACAGTAAGCGGGAGTACCTCTGTACAGAGTTCAGCTGAGCTACCAGCAAAATTCCTGTCTGAGAGCTTATTGCATTACGGGCTCAGCAGACCAGTAATGCTCTCTCGCCTTTCTTGTTTAAACATAATGACAACACTACAGTCTTTTTCCAAAATACTTTGGGGTGAGGATACAGGGTGCGTACATATATATGTGTATGTGTCTGTCTGGAAGCCCATGCCCCAACGGTGGAGGGACCAAGCTTTGCATGATGCACCTTCAGGACTAAAGGTAAAGGAAATACAGGATGCACATCTGGAACTGCTATACTAATGAGACAATTAAGAGAGCATGAAGCAAGCACGGAGCATACCCATAAAACAGAAGGTGAAACCTTTTTTAGCTCTAGGTCTAAGTTAAAAACCACATTTTGGTAATTCATTACACACCTGGAATGTCTAAGGTACTGATTATTCATAAAGTGCCGAGGAGTGATGAAGGAATGCTTTTGCTTTTGAACCAAAGGGAGTGGAGATTAGCCATATTAACTTGGTGCTTTGATCACCAGGGAGGGAGGGAGAATCATGGAGTATTAAATGCTTTTTTATACTTAAGTAGGAATGGAGAGTAGAGAAGAATGTAACCCTACAGAGATTTTTAGGTATTTTCAACAATAACTGACTAAAAATGTGTCTTCAAAATATGCTGGCAGACTGTCTTACAGGAGGTAATCATTCCTACAATACTAAAAATTGTTTATAGCAGAACTTAAAAAATTAAACTTTTTGCTTTTGATTTTAGTTCCTTCTATTTTACAGTGTAAAAAAAAAGCATTTGTTCTGTGGGCTTTATTTATATCATTTTGTTTTCACTTTTTGTGCTCGTTTGTGTAAAAAAACAAAGAAACAAACAAAAAAGCCCAAAGCAAATGAAAAAAGTAAAAGGAAAGGAGAGGAATTCACAATACCAAGTATATGTAGTAGCGGAAGATACATCCAGCACTTGAAAAAAATTGTATTCTTTTATATTAGAAGCATCCTTGTCTTAAAATCTCAAGAACAGAGCAAAAAGTAAAGACTCCAAGTCTGCCACCTCTTCTGCACATGTTTAACTTCAGGCACTGTCATTGGGTTTGGTGGTAATGTGAGAGAGGTCAAACGTATGGTAAGTCCTTGCAAAAATGAATCTAAGGGACTCTTGCCTAAGTGGTCTGTGGAGTCAGCGCTTGTCTGCAGGAGCCTGGCTGCTGCTGGTGCTTTGGTTTTTTTCTCTCCAGCTGTAAATCTCATTTTTAAAATACTGGACTGCACCAGACGCTTTCCAAATAACGCTCCTCGATGCAATTATTTGCAATAGCTGCCAGGGGGGTATTAGGGGGTCTCCAAGGGGAGCAGAGTGTCTGCAAAACCCACTCTGCGTTAAGATACAGTTCTTGCTTAAAAATACACAAATCCCTGGGTTAGGTCCACGTAGCCATAGCATAGATTCAGAAGCCTTGAAGAAAATGTTTTTCCTGTCACTTGCTGAAACACTGAGTTTCTGTCTAAGTAAAACAAGTTACAGAAGAGGAAGAGAGAAAGAGCTGGGTAGCGTAGGTTTTTCCTTCACAGTGTGAGATGATGATTTTGATCTCTCTGCAACTGAACTGGGTGATCGTGGGCAAGCTGCTGGACTTTGTGTCTTGGGTTCTTCAGCTAAATAGTTGTGCCTTTCTCCCTTGTGGACATGCTGTGAAAATGAAGGCCTGTGGTTGCTGCCGTTGTAGCTAGTGAGATCAGAGCACGCCTGTGCTGGGCTAACTCAAAGCTTGATGGGGAAATTAATGTGTAATACACTGATCAAATTCATCTAGAATGTACTTAATTTAAAAACTCTGCCTAAACCCAGATTTAGGCATGTGTGTTGAATGCATTTCTGGCTTTACCCTGCTTAGCCCACATCTATGCCGTCACAGTCACAGAGCTGTAGAGTCGGTGTTACTTAAGGAGGTGGCTTTGCACGCTTCCCTGAAATGTCTGAACACTGAAGTGATAGCAGAAGATGCAAAATGGAGGAAAGCCTGGTGCTTTAAAACCACTGTTGTTACTCCATTTGTGACGTTTGTTATTCCAGTGGGCACTGAATTGCAGTTCAGGTATTCATCTCTGGATGGTGCTTTTCTTCATAAAGAATTTCTGTTGAGATCAGTACTGAGAGGTTGGAGATGGAAGGAGAGTTCTCAGCAGCAGCATTCATCTCTCATACGCTGGTTGCATCTTGTGTAGCATATTTCAGCAGAAATATCTCAGGGTCTCTGAATGTATTGGCCATGGCATTTGCTTGACTATCGAAATTATATCCTAATTGTCTTCCAGTCTTTTTCCTTGCTTTGCTTGGAGAGCTGGGAGCAGAAATGCAATGCAAGGCAGGCAGCAATGTCAGCACAGAGGAAAAACAGTTGAAATAGTCTTACAGCAAAGGCAACCTTTCTTAGCGGCAAAGGCCCTTTATTTTTGTGCCTACTTTTTCCGGTAAAGTGAAATAAAAAAGGTGAAGAAATAGCAAATTGGTTTGTGTGGGGTTTTTTGGGTTGACTCCTTCCACTGTGACAATTAGCCCTAGCAAAAAGAGTGTAAATGTTGTGCAGAGACTCTGTAACAAGTTTCCAGGCATGCTGTTTCTTCACCACTTACTTTTCTGGGCGTGTTTTTTCCAATCCAACTGACGTTCACTTTAGTCCATTGGAAAGGAGTGCTTTCTGCATGCACATGAAGAGGCACAGCCAACCCCCCTTCAAGAACTAGTCGCGGGGCTCTTGGTTGAACTGCTGAGTCCCAGTTTGCATGAATGAAAAATTAACTTCTTTAATGACACAATGAAAATAAGTGTACAGGGTTGTGCTTTTCCCATTTGCTCAGCTCTGGTGAAGGAAGTAGCATTTGCCTTGTGAGCTCGTCTTTGGCCTCCCACTGAATGGCTGAAGGAGCTGAGGGGCGAAGGACCACAGTGTTCCCCCCTAACAGCTCACAGCTGCCTAGGTAGTGCCAAGGTTATGGGCAGTTACTTGCTGTCAAAAAAGCCTGCAACTCAAATGTGCTCATTTCTTGCAGTGTTTAGTTGAGAGCATCAAGAATTAAAATCCCTGGACTTCCACTGCTGTCTCCTCTTCATCACAGGGCTCAGACCCGCAGCCCCTCCTTTGCTAGCATGGCTTTGGGAGCACAGCTGGGGTGCACCTCTGTCGTGTACCCAACACTAAGGTGAACAGTGTTTTCAGAGTATACTCCAAGATAGATTTTGAAACGTGTTTCCTCACTCTCACTGGTAAAAATGACTGCTTAAGCCCCAGCAAACCCTGAAGCCCATCATGCTCCATTAACAAACAGGCTAGCGGGGTGCTGTGCTGCACAGAGAGCTCTGTGTCTGCCCATCCCTTACTGAAATTGTGTGTTTTGTTCTTCCAGACTCCGACCTGAGCATGCGGACGCTCAGCACACCCAGTCCAGCATTAATATTTCCACCGAATTCGCCTGGTTTCCAGAATGGCAGAGAGTCGTCGACGTCTTCATCCTCAGTCACTGGGGAAACTGTTGCCATGGTCCACTCGCCGCCTCCAACACGTCTCACTCATCCTCTCATCCGACTGGCATCCAAGCACCAGAAGGAACAGGCCAACATAGACCGGCTGCCTGACCACTCCATGATCCAGATATTCTCCTTCCTGCCCACCAACCAGCTGTGCCGCTGCGCCCGTGTGTGCCGCCGCTGGTATAACCTTGCCTGGGACCCCCGACTTTGGAGGACTATTCGCCTGACCGGCGAGACAATCAATGTAGACAGGGCTCTTAAAGTGCTGACCCGGAGGCTTTGTCAGGATACACCCAACGTATGTCTCATGTTGGAGACGGTAATTGTTAGTGGCTGCAGGCGGCTCACAGACAGAGGACTCTACACCATTGCCCAGTGCTGTCCAGAACTGAGGAGGCTGGAGGTGTCTGGCTGTTATAACATCTCCAATGAGGCGGTCTTTGATGTCGTGTCACTGTGCCCAAACCTGGAACACCTGGATGTGTCAGGTAACAGGAAATATTTCAATACGGATGCCTCTGATTCTAAAAGCCTCACGCTTGTCAAACCCCTGGCCCCACAACTGCACACTTTCCCTTTCTGTGCTGCCTTTCAAAGTAGGAATGCCAGTTTCCTATCGCAGTACTGGTGAGACAGGCACGGCTAGAATCTCAATGCCTCAAATGCCAGCAGCACCTCTTGAGTGACTGGGCCTCCTCCAACAGAGACTAGCTAGCAAAAATGGCCCGTTCAAATAGGACGAGTACTTTTTATAGATTTAAGCATCCTTACAAGGGCCCGGGTTGCAGTCAGTGCTACATTGTATGGTGAAGGCTAGTTGCTTCAGCAAAATTTGTGTTATCTTTCATATATATACATATAAAATTTATATGTACGTATATATATATAATGTATATATCTGTAATCTGATAAGTGACTTGAGGAGGAGCTTAGAATCAGTGCTAGGCTTCTGTCAGGGTATAAATATCAGTTGTCATCCCTAGCTAAATTTCAAGGTCTCCTTGTTTCCATTGCTATTTTAATGAGACTCAGCTAGCTTGGACTTTCTTTTTTTCTTTTAATACTGTATGTATTTGCTTAGTGACTTTCTGCTTTTCCTTTCACCCAGTTACAATGTATCACTGTAGCTGTTTAGATCAGCAGAAATGTTTTACACAATTTTCCTCAAACCTGCTCTGGGGAAACAAGATGTTTTTTCCCCAAGGTCAGTCACACAGAATATCTTCTCTGCAAAGAGGTTGGCACTTAATGGAGAGGATGTAGCCAAGCAGAGCACTGAAGTAAATTTCATGTTCAGTACTTATTGTGTGATCTCACTTGTTATCAGTCTAATGTTGTTATTAATCAGCCAGACCAGATTTGCCATTGCAGAGGTACTAATGGCAACAAGCAGGACAAAGTGGGGACAGGAGGCAGTGCTATTGAGTCACTGGTACCCAGATAAACTGATTTTTCCAAGGCTGCCTATCTTGTGTACTCTGATTTGCTTTCTTTTTTCTACCTTTTATTTTTTTTAACTGATTTGTCCAACTCTTTCACCTAGGATGGCAGAATGTTATGGAAAGCATCAAAACAAATAGCAACAAATCAGAATTAGTCACTTTTTGTGATTGCTTTCTGAAACCTCCAGGTGATGAGGAGTCTCTGTGGGACTCCATGGGAGTCCTGTCCCGCGGAGTCTATTTGCAATGACCTTGCATATGAATTACTTGTTGTCAGTATGTACCGACATTAGTTCTGAATTGCTAACCACAGGTTCAGGTTGAAGCGTCTCCAACACCAGGAGAAAATGTATGTGCTTGTGTGATTTAGACCTAGAGCTACATATCACTTTGAAGCCTGGCTCTCTCTCTGGCATATTTATGCTTTTCTTACTACTTTACTACATCCTCTAGAGTGGCACAGAGAGTTGAGTGGCTCAAGTATCCTGGGCCTGGAGAGACAGGACAAGTAGAATTGCTGAGCTGAGGGTGAGCTGCCTTGGCACACCAGTCTGTTAGCTGGCACCCTGAGTGCACTTGGGGGCTTGTAGGTGGCTGAAAATGCTTTGGCCCACAGCTCCTGCTGAGAGATATGCTGTAGACCGAACGTGACTTTTTCAAAAGCAGGGGAGATGAAAAGATGATACCAGGTCTTGAAATAGGTTCTTTCGGGGTCTGTCTTCATTTGTGGTTTCCCCGAGCCTGTTACTTTCAGATCTAGAAGATGGTGTCTATCCTAAAGGGCTCATCAGTTTGGTCCAAAATGTGTAGAGGGTGAGTAAAATACCTGTCTCCCTTGAATTTTGTCTCATCAATGGGACAGGAAAATAATTTTAATCTCACATTTTTCTAAGTTGTCCTTTCTTTTTGGAGCAGGCGAGGGAAAAATCCTGGGTTTGAACATGCTCAGAAGTCAGGGTGTTTGGGTTCAGACATGGCTTTTGCTGCATGTGCCTGCATATGAATTGAGGATAATTCATCTCTGGGGTCTTGTTTTGAGTCCACTTTTTTCATTCTGATGTGACTAATTTTGGAAGATGTTTTGGACACAGGATTCTATTTTCCCCTCCTTCTGTGTGTAGTTAGGAGGACAAGGCTTGCACCTACACACTCAAGCAATTCTCAGGACTGAAGTGGTTCACTGGTTTGGTTTCATACTGAGCAAGAGAAGTGGGGTACATGTGCTGGGGGATAACACTATACTTGTAGCTAGTTAATTAAAACCTAGTTCACAGTTGTACATCTAGCTGAATCCCTCTCCCCCTTGGATGGTTACTTGGCAGCAATAACGTACCAAAATCTTTAATGTCAAAACCAGATGTTCATATTAACTTTAAGAGTTTTCCACAATGCAAGTCCTGTCACTCTCAGCATCCACTTTGTGGGCAGGTTGAGATATCTCTAGAAGTTGGTTGAGCTTGACTGCAAGTTATTATCTAACATGCTAGCCAACATTTTTTTCAATCTGTTTGGAAGTTTCTCCTCCCTTTTAAAAATCAGTTGTACTTACTTTATGGAAAATCCTGTTACAAGAACTTTGTTTTTACATTTTTTTATTATTTAGGACAGAAAAATTGCTCAGACCCAGGAATCTGTCATTTTGCCTAAAAATCAGGCAGTTCTATATCAACATGGACCCTTTTTCTGGTGAAACCATTTTGAATATCCTTCCCATGAAATATTTTACAGTGTAGCTAAAGTAACTAGGCAAGACGATCCTGAGCTTGTCAAAACAATGATCACACACTTATGTATGTGACTCCAACCCTGCTGTGGGACTTCTGACCCATTCACTTTCTAATTGCGGTCATTAAAACGTTGCCCCTTCTTGGATCCTCAGCAGACAGAACATTCTCCTCGGCCTCGTTGACCTTCATTCTCACTTAACCAGATTCCAAAATTGAATTCTGGTCAGCATGTAAAATATCCAGACTGACTCCCTAATCCAGCAACCTCCTCAGGCAAACGCAATAGTGACAACGACATCAGGTCCAGCAGAACTCTGCCTAGGTGCTAGCTTCTTCTGTGGAAACCCAGCTTAAGAATGGGTGCGTTTTGTATCACCTACTCCAAAGAACACATTAGAGGTGAAATTTTTACACCATTAGTATTGTACTGCTTCCCTTTAGAAAAATCACTTTGCATTATTGAGTATGTATGTAGTACTTATTTGAAGGCAAACGTATTTCCAAAGATTGTACCATAACAGAGATGGACCTGCAACACAGTCTGAAGAGGAAATAGCATCATTCAGTTTTAAGAACTCTTCGTTTGCACAAAGTGCTTTGCTTCAAGGTCCCAGAGCTTCTGCATGACCTGTGCAGGACAATTTGCCCATTCATTGTGTGAGGCCTAAGGTAAAACTTGCATCTGTTCAAATAAATTTGAGGCCTAAATAAAGATCCAGCTGCAAATTCAAATGATGAATGTAGAAATCTAATTGCAAGTGGCAAACTGTTTCAAGTCCATATCCCACGCTTCTTAGAGCATTTGTGTGAGCCCACTGGATTATCTCAAGGGATTTTTTTTTTCTATTTGTTTTTAAGAACTGAAGCATATGCATACCTTCCACTAAGCCTCTGAATGAGAACCTGTTGTATCCAGTTCTATGGGATTGGGTCATTCAAGTTTTTGAGGTGGTCTCCATACATTGTTATGCTCTTTACTTCCAGACTACAGGATTTGTGCAGCATTTCTGATACATGGAGCTCTAAGGTCATCATCCTGACTTTTCTGGCTTTTCATGGGTCACTTCATCCCTGTTCGCTAGTGTTTCAGCAATACAGAAAAGCTCTTTTTATGCCTACCTGATGTCACCTCTTTAGGCATAAGGTGCAGAATTTGTCTGAGTAGACATAAAACTGCTGGGCCTTCATCGCTAACAGCTAGACCCTCCCTTCTTCCTTGCAGCTGTTTCTAGCTATGTGAATGCGATGTGCCCAGCTGAACTTGGCACAGATAAGAATTTCCCTTCTGCAGCCCAAGACTGCCAGATTGCAGTGCAGCAGAAACAGCGCTTTCCAAAAAAAAGCTTTCATTTACCACCACGCACAGAGAGGAGGTTAAAAATGGAGAAGTCTGTGAGAGTGTTTTCCCTTTAGTCTAGCTCTTTATCTTTCCTTGCAAGGTCTGGTGTTTCTCCTGTAGTCTAGTTACTCCATTCATGGCCAGACTTTCTCACTTGAAACAGTCCTTTTCTGCATCTGTCCCTGTCCTCCCATGCCCTTGCCACTCTGTTGGCTCCTGCTGACTCTCCCCATTCTCCTCAGGTTACCCAAATCTCCACCCTTCTGCAAGCACATAGTCTTGCCATAGCTTTGCATCCTTCACACATTGAAGGCTTGGGGCTGGATTCACATCTGTTCCCCAAATGCTTTTTGGAGGATGGGTGGAGTTTGTGTTTTTTATAATGGGGTTAGATGGTGAAAGAGCCTCTGATGTTGGTTTACAAACTCAACCAGTCAGCAGTGAGACTGCCTCTGATCAAAAAGCTGTGTTGGTTGTCACGTAGTACCATTTTCTCAAATTGTCACTGGGTTTATATTGCAGGAACAGATCGTAGACTGTCCCTAGATAAACCTAGGACCATCATTTTACATTTGGGATATGGACAAAATTGGTCTGGCACTTTGCTGGGGCTCAAAATCCCAAAACAACGTCACTGACTCCAGTGGAGTTTATTATTTCCTCTGGTGTAGGGACACATCACCGCAAATCCAGACTAGTCAGCCAGGATGATTCTGCTCTTGCAACATGAAGATATCTTCATCACATCCAGCATGCAATTTCATACCCACCTTTCTGATCTTGCTGTGTGATTTGTTTTTACTGCTTGCTTAAATTCACTGTTTTTCCACTTAGGCTGCTCCAAAGTAACATGCATCAGTTTGACTCGCGAAGCCTCCATCAAGCTGTCTCCCTTACACGGGAAACAAATCTCCATCCGCTACTTGGACATGACAGACTGCTTCGTCCTAGAGGATGAAGGACTGCACACCATTGCCGCTCACTGCACTCAACTCACCCACCTGTACCTGCGCCGCTGTGTCCGCATCACTGACGAGGGTCTCCGCTACCTGATGATTTACTGCACGTCCATTAAGGAACTGAGCGTGAGCGACTGTCGCTTTGTCAGTGACTTCGGCATGCGGGAGATTGCCAAGCTGGAGTCGCGCCTCCGATACCTTAGCATCGCTCACTGCGGCCGCATCACAGACGTGGGCATCCGTTACATAGCCAAATACTGCAGCAAGCTGCGCTACCTCAATGCGCGGGGCTGCGAGGGCATCACGGACCACGGTGTGGAGTACCTCGCCAAAAATTGCACAAAACTCAAATCGCTAGATATTGGCAAGTGCCCTCTGGTCTCAGACACCGGCCTGGAGTTTCTAGCCCTCAACTGCTTCAACCTGAAGCGCCTGAGCCTGAAATCATGTGAGAGCATCACTGGGCAGGGCCTGCAGATTGTAGCTGCCAACTGTTTTGACCTGCAGATGTTGAATGTGCAGGACTGTGATGTCTCTGTGGATGCTCTGCGATTTGTTAAACGACATTGCAAACGCTGTATTATAGAGCACACCAACCCTGCCTTCTTCTGAAAGGACACTCCACACCTGTCATTACAATGCAGTATTAAAAACACTGATGTATAAATACACGCTCCCATATTCAGTAATGCTGTCTTTTCTATAGCTCACGGGAGTCAGCTTTCTTGTATGTTGTGGGTGAGAGGGGTTTCTAGAGGACTATTTTGTTTGCTCTTTATATGATCACTTTTTAAGGTGCGGTGGGTCTCCGTGGAGAGACTGCCTTAATGCAAAAGCAGTGAGTGCTCAGCATCCCCCGTGGGGTGCCATTTCCATAACAGCCGCGATCTTGTCCCAGGCTACAGTAGCTACCTCCAAAGGAAATAGCACATAATCCCTCCTTTGGAAATGCTACTAAGCTGTGTCAAATACATCTGAATTCCAGCTGTGCTCATGAAGCTGACTATGCAATATATGTCTGTGTTCCCCAACGTCTTCCAATATGGCTGATAAAGCATCCCCTCGTCTCCAAGTAGTTTCCCTTTGGTAGTCATCCATTGTAATCCCTCAGGAAATACTGAGTAATGTTCTTAAACATACTTCATTGAAGCAGAATAAGACCTGCTGGCCATTGCCAAGCACTCTGCTGAGTGAACTTGGATGTTGTGCCCATGCATGGATTCTCTTGGAAAGCCCACCTCCAGGTCACTTGTGCATCATCACTACTTGCCTTCATTTCTAAATCCACCCTCTCCTGGGTGTGTAGTGCACCCTCTGGGAGCAGACAGGGACTTCTGGGTCTGATAAGCAGTGACATATTCACCTGAGTGAAGGAAAACAGATGCGATATTGGTGGCCGAGCAAAGGGGGAAAAGCCAGCAAATCAGCCTGAGAAGCTGCTGTAATTCTGCAACAAGCTGAGAGAGCACTGTAGTACGCTGGGGACTCTCTGAGGCATTGTGGAGCAGCTTGCACGGGACAGTCCCAATTGCTGTGCTGCACGGCTGTCACCAGAAAGCTGTCTTTGTTCCTTCACTGTGACTCTTCAGCAGCCATGGCACCGCTGCAGTTGACGCTCCCTGAGCAAACCAGGCATGTGCGTTGAGGTAAATTCAGTGTGTGCCTTAATACACGTAGAAACCCGACTTTTCTGTGGCCTTCCAGTTCAAAGGATAGATGGCCGATCTCGAGACTTCAAAAACATTAGCCTGATGTTAGATAACACCCCTGGGGACAGAGGGGCTTAGAGTGCTATTCACATTAGATTTAGATTTTGTGAAACCTTGTCTGTGTGTGTTCCCCTAGGCTGGAGAAACAGCTGCTGTTCAACAAGGAATTAGAACGCTAGCGTTGCCCTGTGACACTGGGAGCCCCTTGTACTCTCATGGTCACTCTTGCTCATGCAAGAGCAAGAATAGTTTGGAGGTTCCCCCATCTCACTGCCTCCTTCCCCAGAGCGTATGGTCATTTCATGGTTACTTTCTTCACAATTTTCTGGCAGCCGTTTCTCTGCATTTTCACATGTAATGCTCAGATCTGGAAGCCAGACATGTTAGGGGTGATGATATTTTCAGGCAGACCCCCTGCGCCTGACTGACAGGTGAATTCATACGTTCAACTCAAACGCTATAAATGTCTCAGTAGAGAACATGAGAAGGGAAGCACCGTGTCTGGTTTTCATAAGCAGTAGTTCCATCATCTCCAGACAACACTAATAAAATCATTGATATGAAGTGAAAATCCATATGCTCGAGAAAAATACATAACTGCCGAGGAAATACTTGTAGCAATGCTCTCTCAAATTACAAAAAAGCAATGGTTTGAACATGTCCCTGCAGAGGGAACTTGTCCTACTGCTGCAAAAATTCCTGTAACTTATATATGTTCCTCCAATTTTGAGTTTCTTAACATACAGGATGTCATCAGCTCTGAATTATAAATCAGATTGTACTAAAGCAAAGGGGGCCACGGAAAATGAATTTGTCATTGCTACTATTACTGGTCAGTGACTAATAGGGGGTGACACCATCTTTGGCCAGTTAATACCACTTTGGTTTTCCTCCCTGTATTTTTAAAATTAGAGACTCTTCTCCAGCAAGTAGTACAGTATATTTTATTCGAGCCAGCTATACTCTCTCTGTTTATCCTTTATCTCAAAATGGCCCCGACAATAGTTAAATGTTAAGTCCATTCCTGAGGATGGTGGGATTTTGAGCCATTTGCACTGGTGAAATATAAGGCCTCATTAGTAACATTTAACTGTTTATTAAAAAAAAAAAATAGCTACTTTTCTGCCTATGCTAAATTGAGTGAATAGTGCTACATGGTTTTTAAGGTTTCTAATGTTTAAATAGGCCTGTACTGTACAAATCTCACTATAAAGCCTTAATTTGCTACCAAGAAATAAAGCAATATATTGGTAACTGATAAGCGTGCATCGTCATTTGCAGTAATTGATTAACTTCTGTTGAAAAAGAAAAGATTAAATACTTGTAAAACTTTTCTTGAAAGGTAGGTAGGTGAATGAGCACATCGGCACATCATGAGGTGGATGACTCTATTAAGAAAGGAAAAAAAAAAGATTGTTATCGATTATGACCTTGCCTATCTGTGTCTTTAAAATTTTATTTTCCTCATGTGGTTCTTCTTGTTCCTGAAATGTAATCAGTAACTGGAAGCGTAAGTAAAAGAAAAAACAGTATATAAAAAGCATATGTATAAAAATTTCAGGAGGGCCTCTCTGTTGGTTTAAAGGCAAGTTAACATATTTGATGTGAAAAGTAAAATGGAATAACTGAAAGGGTAGGGCACTTACGAGTGCAGTGTTGCCTTTTGAACAGCCCACTCTGGGGGGCACTGGTGGAAAAGGAATAAAGGTAATTTTTCTAAGCCAAAGATTTTTAAGTGTATAGTCTTACATGATCTGAGTTGGCACTCTGAGACTGCTACTTTATTTCAAGAAAATTTGAATTTACCTTACTGATACAGCTTACCTGTTTTCACTTCTAACTTTTTTCCTATGTCTACCGCAAAATGGCACGACCAGAAACGAAACTGAAATAGTGCATGTGATGCTGAGTTTGCTGGAAAGGTTGCAACATGTGACCGATGTGTCTTCGTTCCAGTTTGGGTTGGCAAAGACTATAAATTTCCTGAGCGAAAACATTGTTGATTCTTGAACCATAAAATTTGGGCTCAGGCACTGAGCCTTCTGCTCTGCGATAGCATGTGGTGATCTCGTCAAAGAAAGCAGCGATGAATCACATCAGTCAGGCTGGCATGTTGTTTATGTCTTTGGAATAACTTGTGTCCTGTAGAGAGAGGTCTCTTAGAAAAGGCACGTCGAAACTACCATGCACTGTGATTATAGTCAAAGCTCTGTATCTAGGTATTCATCCTCATTCCCTTGGCTTTCGTAAAAACTGGAACTGTATTAACTGCATTTTCCCCGTTAGCAGCATGAGATTGATGTGAAGTGGAGCACTTTTACCTTTTTAAGCTATGCTCATCTGACTTCCTACAAAATGCAAAACAGCTTCTGTTGGATGTCTTGACTCAAAACCATGGTCCAGGCTGTAACCTTCTGTAGTGGCTTATGTGGTTTCTGAAAACTTCCAGCCTTTGAACTGGGAAATTAAAAAGCTAGTAAAAGACCTAATTTTAGCACTAGACTTGAAGCAGGTCCAAACTCTCATTAAAAAGAAATATAGTGACCATTTGGACTGCAGACTGGCTGCCCAGCAGCTGCCAGTGTTAGTTTAAAGGGAAAAATTTCTCTGACAGGGTTGGTGCATGGCTCCTCTTCCCCCAGCGCTCCCCAGCAAAGTAACCTGCCCTCAGTTTTTTATGATTTTGTCAATTTAGCTATTCGTGCTGAAAATTCCCATGCTGGGCTTTGAAAATGTTAGTTGAAATGGTTCATCTGGTTCTGTAAATAAAGCTAGGAGGAAATGTCATTTTGTTCATGTTAAACTCCTGACGACCTTTCCTTTGAAAACGGTTCATTGCTCTTCATCTCCTCTAAGGCCTTCAGAGTGAAAGTGTGAGCCTTGCCAGGAGGTCAGCTTTGGGACAAGGATGCATCTTACTGATCTCCTAGTTAAAATTCACACAAATTTAGTTAGATTACGTGTCTTTGAAAAACTCCAACTCCATGACCAGGGAGAAAAGGGGCACACTCAGATCTTTTGGAGCTTGTAGTCTGGCAAGGCTGAGATTTGGCAAAGCTAAGAGGCGTTTATCACTCTGGCAGTGTGAAGGAGGAAATTACCTGAATTATATGGAAGCTGCCTGGAAAGTCAGGGCAGGGTTGAAAGATGGGAGTTTGAGCACTGGGACAAGAAGAAGGATGAAGGAAATTTCCTGGGCAACGGGGACTGGGACTGAGGTGAAAAGAGATTGAATGATTTTCAGCAAAGAAACTAGGGCTGGGATTAAGAGAGGTGGGTTTGCATGACTTGTTGAGCAGGGAGAGTTGGACCAGAGAAAGTGCAAGTACTGAAGAATGAAGTTTGAGGCAGGAGCAGAAACATGAAGGAAGTTAACTGAATATCACGTAAGTACAGTACACTCCCTCAGCGAAGGCTCTGAGAAAGACTGACAAACTGTTTCAGTGAGGATGCCTCCAATTTGAAACAGCCTTTCGAAAATGAAATAGTAATTTTGCATTTAATGCATCCAATAGCTACCCTTTTCTATATTTTGTGAAGCCAGAAAAATCTTTACAGGCAGAACTTCTGCCTTTACCAGCAAATGTATACAGAGGCCTGAGACATCATCAGCCTCAGTGTCTTGTTACTGCCTTTACACCTTTGTGCAAGGTAGTCTACCGAGAAGAACAAGGCCAGGCAGGTTTGTAACATCTCTTCTTCCCGTGGCACTGTATTTCAGCAACACCAGCTGTCGGGCTTTGCTAAGGTGCAGGCGTCAGTGTGGAGCCAAATGCCTGCCCTTTTAATGACTGTTAAAGGGTATAATAATAATAATAGGTTCAAGTGACTGCCAGGCAGTAGATGTTAGAATTCAAACTTAGCTTAACAAAAATATATTTAATTGAACAGCATTACTGCATG